GATTAAATAATTTATGCTGGAATTTTACTGTGCACGCGGCCAGTTAATCGGGTATGGCAAAGACCATTTTCGTTATAAATCTAAGCAATTTAGTCTGCATTTTCATTAAGATCTATTTTAACAGACGTAGAGCAAACTAGATTTTAATATCCTTCTGCACATGTGCGATGGGTTATAAAAGTTCCCAGTTTATGTATTACTAATAATAATAATAATAATATTTTTTTATATATTATGCGTTTTTTATAACCGTGAAATACAGAAAAATAACTATAATCCGTGTTTTAGTTCAAATTCAGACAAACTAGACCACTTAATCAGATTAAAAAAAATTTAATCATTAAACGTACACATGATTACGATTAATTAATTTTAATCGTTAATCGCGATTAACATTTTAATCGTTAATCAGATTAACATTTTGCCAACAATGATTTGTAGGCATTACTTGTGATAAAATTTATTTATTTTTTTGTTGTTTTCTTCTTTAGGCGCAGGGATATTAAATTTTTATTTTATTTTTCTTTGCGGATTAGGCGCAAGGTTAAAGTTAATTTTCTTGTTTGGTTTACGGATTGAGCGCAAAACTGATATTCTTTTATTTTTTCGACTTGCGGATTAGACGCAAGGTAAAAGCTAATTTTATTTTTTGTTTTACGGATTAAGCGCAAAACTGATATTCATTTATTTTTTTGACTTGCGGATTAGGCGAAAGGGTAATTTACTTTTCATTGCAGATTCATACTTTTCTCGAACCAGCTATGGGGGATCGTGTAATCCTTTTTGGGAGTAACGTAGCTATTTGTCAATTTCGATGGCGCCACAACCTACTAAGGCACGATTTGTCTCACTAACCAGTCCGCTCTTGTAGTAATGAACGTCGTACGTTTCAAATTCTTTATATGGTAATGCGATCAAGCATACAATTTGCAACCCACAAATCACTACTAATCTCCTTATATGAATTCGCCTAAAGGTAATATATTACAATTAAGAATTTGCGATGTAAGAAATGCAACTCTGTTGTATGTAATGGCATTATTGCGCGTTACTTTCAACCGAGCATATTTCATAGTCTTTTTAAAATATATTTGTCTGCGATTTCTTGGCTGCAAGCCAAGTGCTAATTAGCGGCAGTAAGCAGGCGTTGGCCGGCATTAGCGCCGGCGGAGCACTAGGGCTCCGCGAGGATATAGGCAGCAGCACTGCCCATTACGGCAGCACCGAGGGAGCGCTAGCGCTCCATCTAAGCGAGCGTTGGCCGGCATTAGCGCCGGCGGAGCACCAGGTCTCCGCGAGAGTGAGTTACACACCAGGTACGCCCCCGCAACTAACGAAGTGGAATTATCCACTCATCCACATCCATTTATCCACACATGGCGACCGTAACAGTGGCTTGCAAAATGGTGGCGTCTGCGTTTGTCATGATAAAGGCAAAAGCCTACAAAAATTGAAGAAACTATAAAAACGTGAAAAAAGAAGAAAACTAACTAGAAATGTTACCTAACTAAAAAAAACCAAAAAAATATAAAACAAAATAAAAATACATGAACTCAAAATACTATGGTGGCGGTAATAAAACAAAACTAAACGTTACCTAACTACAAAAAAAAACGAAAAATGAATTTAATTTAATTTAAACGAAACAAGCAAAAACGAAGCAAACTATTGGTGGTGGTAATAATTACAAATAAATAAAAAAACCTACAAAAAAAATAAAAATAAAAAAAAGCGGTGGTACCAAATTTTACAAACTTTATAAAAAGAACAATGACTTAAAAACCAACAATTAACGGTTAAAAAAAAATACAAAAAAAGCGGTGGTCCCAAATTTGAAAAACTACTAAACAAAAAATGGTTGGTGGACCGGTAGCAGAAAGAAACATTGCGAAACGTGAAATCAAGAACAACAACAAAAAAGTGCGGTAAAAACTAAAATTTCAAAACTGGAACTATTGAAAGTGCAAGTACTGTACCACAACCAAAACGCGTCATACATCCGTTGTATAACGGCACACAAACCACGCCATCCATCAACCACAGCTGTACCCATGACCACGCCATGCAACCGTTGTATAACGGCATAGACACCACGCCATAAAAGCGTCGCTAAGCCTTGGCGCGACGCAAGACAGCGAACCGTTTTGGTACAGACTGCAGCGGTGGAACAATCAGCGAGAACACAGCAACATCATCAGTAGCAAGAGAGAGCAACAAAGAATAGCGTCAACGAGTAGCGGTTTGCAGCATGGTATGATGCACAGTGTGCAAAAATTTCGAACTTTTTTTTTTATTTAATATTTTCATGTACATACATACCTACAGAATAAAAGCCCTATGATGTACCTACTATTTCTATTACATATGTGTATGTATATAGACACATATCATTTGCTTATATATTAAAATATGTTAATATATGCTTTCAACTGTTTGTATATATGTGGTACTATTTTACGTTTGGAATCTCAGCTTCTACGGTACAGTAGTGTGAAAATTTACTACAATTTTTATTTTTAACGTAACTTTGCAACAAATTAATGGTATTAACTGGAATTTTGCTTCGGTGTTTTGCAGCATTAGGCTGGAGTCACATTTTTGAATTTTGGTTATCGGTATTTTTCGAATATTCAATACAATTACTCATCAATTTAAAATTTTAAACCGAATTTCGCCTGTGTCATGCCGTGTTTTTTATACTAAATTTGTGCTACTTCTTAACTGTTTTTCTCGAAAGAAAACACCGTGGCGTAAATAATTTATAAAAGTTTGCGAAAACCCACACTTTTTCTTAATCAAGAAAAAAAAGTTTGAAAAACAAAAAAACATCTTTTAAATTGCATGTCAGATATCACAACGGAAAACAACATCCCTTTCCTATTGCATGGTTATACCCCTTA